AAAAAAAAAAAGAAAAGCAAAGACGAGAGAAAAATTAGCAAACTCTCTTAGGAATATCCTCTTTTTTTCTGTCTATTGAGTATTTGTATAGAGTTGCCTGTCAATCAACACAACGACAGCATTCTTGTCTATTTAAACTGACCGTGAAATAAATATCTATATATAGATAGACGAGATACATGAAACAAAATTTCTGACGAGAGCAGGTGACGACAGCAGCATTCCATACTAGAGAGTTTGTGAAGAAAAAATATGTGTATGTCAATAACTCTTTAGAGATATATTAAAGTACGACGATAAATCAGATGTTTATATATATCACCTCCATATTATATACTTGATACAGCAATGCTTGATGCTGAAATTGGTGGTGCATCTACTGGATTTCATTATAACCCACAATATAATATGCGACGAGCTTCTGGTCGACCTGATGTTTATCGTACACAATTTGGATCGTTAAGTGCTGATGAATATCTTACACCAATGTTACAACCACCACAACGCAATGATCATAACATAGCACGACGTCTTTCTAGAAATTCGTTTCTCATTCCTCCACAAACATTTAGTCGTCAAGGAACAGACGGTATGTTGATTAATAATATACTTATTTATATTCTTCAAAGATCTAGATAATGTTAATAACATTACAAACTACTTTTTTTTTTCTAATTTTATTACTATCAAAAAACTAGTCAATTGTCATTTTTCTTTTCTTCACATAATTAGTCTTTTGTTTAATGTTATCAATCGATCATTTTTATTCTCAGATGTGATATATGTATATAACATTGCTGTTATACTACAATTTATTTGATACCGATAACATATAAACAATATCTTAATATACATTCAACCTTGTCATATTCGATGATGATGATGATCTCTTCTAGTAGTCGTCTTGACTGATTTTTATAGGCTATATCGGATATGAAACTAATGAAAGATTAGTATTGATTTGTTCTGTTCTGTTTTATCTTAATTTCGGCATGAATAAAAAAGGAAACAATTGAATAATTATAACATACTAAGAATGAGTAGTATCGATGCACTAGTGACATTTACTGAAATGATGTTTGTAGAAGATGTTTGTTAAGCATGGAATGGAATGTGCACATTTGTCTAATTATATTGGTAAATTGTTAGGATCAGATAGGCGAGATTTTTTTTTGCTTATTTTTATTGATAATCAAATAAGGAACAGGCATATAGTGAGAAGAGAAAAAGCAAAAAAAAAAGAGAAATATTTATTAGAGTGATGTACTCGCGTAGTCAAGAAAGAGACGATGATTATCGAAGACGTTATAGTCGACAAGACGTTCAATATACAGCTAATCGTAATCAACAGCCATTAGAATCGAGTATGAATCTAAGTCAACGACCTACAGCGATGGGGTATCATTATTCAGGAGAATCTCATGGTATACATTTTCATTCCTATGTTAAATGATTATAAATATAATTTTCAAGAAAAATTTTATTTATATATTTAGATCTCAAAGACAAACGTGAAGAATCAGGATATTGTTTTGGTATACTTATTGTTCTTAGTTATTTTCTTGTCGTTATTACATTTCCATTATCTCTATGCGTTTGTCTTAAAGTATGAATATTAGTTTTTATTGATTGTATACATACATATGCTTTTTCTCATTTGAGAAAATCTAGGTTGTACAAGAGTATGAAAGAGCTGTCATTTTTCGACTTGGCCGTATTTTAGAGAATGGAGCACGTGGTAAGTTTATTATTTATATTCAAAATTTTACTTCTACAAATAAATATGCGTGTCGTTAATATTTATTAAATTAACAGTCATACAAATATAGAACTTATTTCCTTCTTGTCTTTGTTAAACATGAAAAATGTCTTGGAAAAGTATTATACTAAATCATTTTCAGCAGTCAACTAATTAATCATTACATCCTTGTCACTTTACGAAATTTCTTAGATATATGGAGACCTATTATTTAGCGCCTTAGATGTATAGTTTTACCAATGGCAAAAACATTTTTAATAATTTTTCTTATGTGATTTGTTTTTTTGTAATTAATAGGACCCGGTCTATTCTTTATCTTACCATGTGTTGATACATACAGTAAAGTTGATCTTCGAACAGTAACATTCGATGTTCCACCACAAGAAATTCTAACTAAAGATAGTGTAACAGTTGCTGTTGATGCAGTTGTTTATTTTCGAATTTTTAATTCGGTTATATCAATAACAAATGTTGAAGATGCAGCCAAATCAACAAAACTTTTAGCAGCAACAACACTACGAAATGTAATCTCATTTTATATTTACATATATATATATATTAGATATTTAATTTAGGTTTTGGGTACAAAAACACTTCATGAGATTCTTGCCGAACGAGATAAAATCGATAATGTTATTCAAGTATGATTTGATATATTTATAATTTGATAGATTGTTTTTTTTCCTCCTTCTATTCATTAATAGACAAGCCTTGATGAAGCAACTGATCCTTGGGGTGTTAAAGTTGAACGTGTAGAAGTAAAAGATGTTCGTTTACCAGTTGCATTACAAAAAGCAATGGCAGCTGAAGCTGAAGCATCTCGAGATGCACGTGCAAAATTCATTGCTGCAGAAGGTGAAATGAAAGCAAGTCGTGGTTTAAAAGAAGCAGCTGATATTATTAATCAATCGCCAATAGCAATGCAATTACGATACTTACAAACATTAACACAAATAGCAGCTGAAAAAAATTCAACTATTGTTTTTCCTATTCCTATTGAACTTTTACAAGCTGTAGCACCTAATCGTCGTTAAACTTTTCGTATATTACTTTTTTGTGTCAAATTAATAAAATACAATTCTATTTGTACTTTGTTTTATTATATTATGTTTATATATATATATATACATTTACTGTTTGAAATATATAATGGATTGTAATACACAACTAATATTGAATAAATTATAAGATGTGCATTTCTAGAATTATTGAATAATCATTAGACAATATCATGGAGCGTAACCAATGATCTTTACGATAAAGAGAATCATGTAGACCATAGGGTACAGTAAATAATGTTACTCCTGAAGTCAACCATTATGATTATTATCTGAAGATAATATATAGCTGATGATACGGAACATTTCTATTCTAATTATAGCTTAAGTAGGAATGATCTTTACGAATAGATATACAAAGATAAATGCAATGCATATATTATGATAATCATTCTATCAATGATTATTAATAGATGTATATCGAAAATATAAGAGTAATTATTTAATAAAACAGTAGAAATGTATATCCTGGGGTGGCGCGATCAGGGGGGGATTACACTCCTGATATCTCCTCTCAATCTTTCAAAGTTTCTATTTTTTGCTCAACAAAATCGGCAAATCTTCTTAGGTTTTTTACCAAAGATAATGCTACACCCCCCCCCCCCCGATGTTGGCTGACTCAACGATAGAGAATAGAATAATCATCATCCAATAAAATTTAAGATATGTCAAGTATCATCTTGAAGAATCTACTAATAATCATTTCCTATTATGAACAAAATCTTGATTTCATGATGTATCTCTAACAGGAAATACATTTTCTATAACATAAGAAAAACATTACTTATTGTATATAAATACTTAAAAGAAATCGTTAAATTAAATTTATCTGATAAAACAGTGGCAGATTTATGGGGAGGGGCGATCGCCTCCTCTGGAAAAGAGATAGGATGTTCGTAACTATATTCATGCGTACACTTTTTAAAGAGATTTTAAATGACTCAGTAGCTTGTATTTTAAGATAATAAACAAAACAACGTTCTAATGAACACAATAAATCTTTTTCAACATAGAGAAAGACACAAGAAATAGCATAAATGATCAAACAAAGTACATAAAATAGAGAACAAGATCATAGAAAAGAACAGAAACATTTGTTTTAATGTTGATAAAGAATGACGATTTCTATCATAAGAAAAAGAGTGAGATGTGCAGAGAAACTGAATGTTATTTTTTTCATCCGTTTATTTGTTGTACCACCTGTTGATGTAGTCGTGTTGAGGATGTGAATGTGAGTGTGGTTGCATAATACTTTTACGAACACTCACACCCTAGTATTTACATTCTCCTGAAGATTAGTAACCTCTATAAGTACTGTGATATATTTACGATCTTCTGGTAAAATGAGTTTACGGACACCTGGTCATTTTCATCCCGATTTACCCACAGTATTTTACATATTGTCGACCATTTTCCCTGTATTTTCTTTTAATTACGATCTTCTGACAGACATGTGTTACAGACACCCGGTAAACGTTTTCAATGAAAAATCAATTCCGAACACCCTGACAAATTACCGGGTGTCTGGGACATCTAGTACGTTTTGTCTTTGTTCCGCTCACCTTCACAAAATGTTTTTTTGATTTTTACACAGTAGAAATAGAATCACACTACTTCGATTGGACTCAAAAAATAGTTTTCAGTCAAAATCGCCCCTTCCTTCCAAAATCCTAGATCCGCCACTATAGTAAAGTGAACCATTCATTTACTAATAGATGAAAATAAAAAAATGATTATATGATTTACTTAATAGACATTCATATTGATTGAACATAAACATATACAGTTTTTTTGCATAGATTTCATTTTTGACATCAATCAATTATTTCTAACGTATCGATGATGTATTACATCTACATAAGTAAATGTCCACTTTAACAGGATTTGTTATTCGATATATATATATTAAAAAAATGTATGTGCGTTTTTTGTTTGCTTTATTTAATAATAATGAGTTCTTTAGAAGATGAACCAGGAACAAGAACAACAAGAAAGAAAGAAAAGTTTAAATGAAACATTTTGAGCCCAAAAACTGAGTAAAGTATATGTGTGTTATAGAAATCGATCGATCATCGCGCGAATTTTCTTTTTTTTTTCATCAAACTCATAAACTGCACACAAAAAAAAGAAGAAATGTTTCTTTGTTTTTTTTTAATATAGAACGAACAATAGTTATTTTAGAGAACAAAAGTAAAGGAAAAAATGACACAAGAAATAATCAAACAATAAATTGAAAAGAATACGTATGTGAGAACAAAAAAAAAATACCTATATAAGTCTTCATTTGGTTATCAAGAAAAGTAAATGTACATTGATCTCATTTTGTTTTATGCTCTTCTTTAAGGGATTGGGAATGCTTTTTTTTTTTCTTGCAAACACTGTTTTATAAACATATATGCAAATGACAAAAAGAAAAGATAAAGAGAAAAAAGAAAACATGGCTGCTAGACTATACTAATATGTATCACAGTCAGACGCTTGTTTTTCTATTTCTTATATAGGTATTTGTGTGTGTTTGATACGTCCGAAATGATTCAAAAGTGATACATTAAAACACACATACATATAAACAGCCATATAGAGTTTATTTATCATTCGTCAAGTTCGCCGTGACTACTTGCATCATCATTGGAGTGTTCATCTTCATCAATATCTTCGTATTCATCGGACATATCATCATCATCTGATTCTTCATCTGGATTAAAACCAGCAACTTCATGTAAGATTTGACGATGTCCAACAGTTGCCGATAAGAAATCATCAAGATTACCTGCATGTGATTGAAAATCAAAACCAACAGCACCAGTTAGATTGGCAGATGGGCTATTTTCATTACTATTTCCATTACCAAATTGTTCGGAATACAGAAGACCATCAGTAGATGTACTGAATAATCGTTCACCAGTTATCCTAGATAAAAATAATAATATGAAAATTTTTTTTCTCCAAATAGTGATGTTGAAAGAATTAACTGAATTTTTATGAAAGTCTATCATATATTTTCGTCAATATTTCTTATTCAGAAAATTTACCATGGATTCATTATACATTCAGCAGCAGTAGCACGTTGAGTAACATCATACTGAAGCATTGGTTCAAGAAAATGTGCAAATTCAATAGCTTCATATGGTGGCCATTTATATTTCTCAGTTAATACATGATATAAATCCCATGGTTTCAATTGTTTTATATTACGCAATTGTCCTAAATTGAAATTATATATTCTAGACAAAACAAAAATAGATTATGTTTTTTTCTGGGTACCTCGTTTATTAAAGAATTCCTTTGAATATCGACCCGAATGAGCAATTTCAGCAGGTATGGGTCCCATTAATTCAATAATATGTGCAATATGATCTTCATCTCGACTATATTCTTCTCCACTATGCGGTTCAAATAAATAATCGCCTGTTGCTAATTCAAAGGCCATACAAGCAACACTCCATATATCAGCTGATGCATCATAACCAGCTCCGAGTATAACTTCAAGTGAACGATATTGTCGTGTTTGAATATCATCTGTGAAATGTTGATACTAATAGAAAAGATTAAGAAGATAAATTCGACTTATAATTCAACATACTGTCCAACAAGCATTTCCTAAATCAGCTATTTTAACTTGAAAAATATCTTCTGATACAACTTCAACAACAGGATTTGGTGTTCGTTCAGCCATTACTCGAGCTAAAATATTCTAATTCTTATTAATTATTTTAAACTTTCATAATTTCATACGTCTTTCTATTGGATCAGGTTCGGTTGGATTAGTTTCTTTATTTGTATCATCGGAAGTTGTTGTTGTAGCAGCAGCACCAGCAGCTACAGTAACTTGTTCATTTTCATTATCTTCATCACTTTCATCTGATGAATTTTGTTTATGTCCATTATTATTTGTTTCATTAGTAATAGTCAATTGATTAACTGAATTTAAAAGACTTTGTTTTTGTTTTTCTGCATCCTGAAATTTTTTGAAATAAAATATTTCTTTTTTTTTACAAATATTTCAAATTATACTTGAATTTGTTGTTGTGTTATTTCAAGCATTTTTTGTTTTTGCTTTTGCTTTTTCTTTAATTTCTTCTTTTTATTTTTTGACATAGTTTTTAAATCTGGTTTGTTTACAATATGTGTTGTTGCAACTAATTTGAAAATAAGACTATATATATAATAAAATTTATGAAGAATATTTACCAGCTGATCCAAGAGGTGTAATTCCAAGTTTATGCCATTCAGCGGCTTGAAATGCTAAAGCTCGTACATGTTCTTCATCGACACACATAAGAACATTTTCCGGTTTTATCTAACAGAAAAAAATACTTATTATTACAAGTATTAATATGTGAATGATAAAATCTCAATGTTTTTAAGCAAATGTCCTTGAAAGTTAACGTTTCATAGAGAAAAAAACTAATTTTCATACATCTGTATGTATAATCTGACATTTTCGATGTAGATAATCAAGACCTTGTAACACTTGTTTCGTAATTGATTTCACATTAGGTATTGGTATACCACGATAATTTGAACGTATGATTAATTTAAGTAAATTATGTCCAAGAACTTCAAAAACCATGCAAACATGTGAACCATTTATTCCAGCTACTTTAAAATCATCTAATAATTGAACGCATTTAAGACGATATGGATCGGATGGATCACTTTCGCGAACATTTGTCAAGAGTTTTATTTCGTCTAATGCTGTTTCAGTATAATGTTTAGCACTTTTAACAACTTTCATAGCAACAAATCGTGAACCTTTACGATCCCAACATAACCATACAGTTGAAAAATGTCCTTAACAAAAAAAAAATGAAAATTATTGAATTGAAAAAGAATTTGTTTATTTGTTTTTTACCCCAGCCTAATTTACGTATAACATGATAACGTTGATTAAATGTTGAACCAATAGTTACTGGATGATAACCACCTTTACAATAATCTTTGGGATCTTCTTGTTCATCATCATCTGAACCACGAATATCATGGTTATCATCTCCTTCTTGTTCTTCTTCATTATCACTTCCATCACCATTGATTGGCATCGTATTGAAACCATTTTCATGTGCATGTGGAATTCTATAAGCAAAAACAAATTTCGATAATTTTCTTTTTTCTATTTGAAAGATCTCACATGATCGGAGGTGGTACGCTCGTTGATAAACCACCACTACTAGAAACAGTAAATGATGAATCAGATTGTGGGATTGAAGCTTGTTCATTTGTAGAGGATGAAGGTGCAGTAGCGTTTACATTTAAAGTATTTCTATAAGAGAATAAAAATTATACTTGTTAATCAATTCAAAAAAGATCATTTTTTTCCTTTAATTTAATCTTACCTAATGACCGACATTTCTCTAGTCTTATATATGTCTGAATAGGTTTTAACTGTACAAATTCTTATCTTCGGTTATGTACTTTCAATTAATCAACGTCATGTACACACATATCAAAACAATAATTCTCGAACTACTTTATCTCTTATGATTATTCTTTTTTTTTTGTTTGAACAAAATTAATAAATAACTTACATTTTTTTTTGAATAAGGTCACGAGGAGGACGCGGTTTTCCGGCATTTTTTGGTCGACGTTTTTTTGCTTGAATTGTACGTGCTAGAGCTACAATAATAAACAAAATTCTTATAATCGATTTTCTTTTTTTTTCTTATTTAAACAAAAAATTTTATGGCACAAAAAAAACAAGCAACAACGAATATTTACATGGGGCAGCATTGGAACTTGACACTGCTTTTGGCATATTGACGATCCTTTGTATGTAAAAAGAAAAGAAAGATATAAAGAGAATTATATAATTATTGATTCGATGTATAATATAGAAGGTTTCTTAATATATATCAGCATCATTTGAATAAGAAAAACAAACGAAAACACAGTATGAGAAATATTCTAGAATAAACTATTAACAAAACAAAAGAAAGAACAGAATATCTTATTAATATTATAATAAATCAATTTTGCACCGTAGGGATTGACACCCGTAACGTTCAATAATAGATAAATGTTATCAAAATTATAGTTGCACTAGTTGTATCGATAGCTAATGACTTTAGTGTTTTCTTTCTTTCTTACGATCATTTTTTTACTATTCGTCTAGAGTTTTAGTAAATGACATATTAATGCATTTCTTTTCTTTGCTTATTTGTGATTTGACATTTCAAGTAAAAAAAACGAATAGAGGATGATGAAGAAAATTTTTCAACCAATCAAAAACGTTGATCAATTTCTAATGAGTCATAATAAATTCTGACATCATTGCATTACATTACGGTTGCTTGCTTTTCTATTTACAGATCGAATCAATTAAATGAAGGAAAAAAGTCTGAAGGTTATATTTGATGGATGAATTTTATTTCGCGAAAGAATTTTAGTTGGTTATTCCTGAAATGCTTTCAAAATAATTTCTTCTACTAATACAAATATATATAGTTTTTATCTATAAGATATTGACAAGATTTATTATTGTTGTCAGACTTCTTACAAGAAAAAAACAGAAAAAATATTTACATATCACTTAGTTTTATGTTGTCATATATTACTGTTTCTTAAAAAAGCGTTGGCGTTAAATTAGGTTAATAAATCTTATACATCCATTACATGAAGTATATGAATATCAATAACGATTATACATGATTCATTCAGTAAATATGTTTATGATAAAATGATTCAAACTGTTTTCGATTAAGAAAGACTTTTTAGATTTACATATCAGAATGATATAGAATTTCACTTCTATTGTCCTTTAAATTTAATATTCAGATTTGTTCGGCTAACAAGTGTCATAATAGATGATACATATTAATATCCTATATAATGCTTTGAATGGGAATAGAAGTGTAGGTAACCTGTCTTTTTCTTCATAAATATTTTAATAATCAATCTAATACGGCTGTCAAGCTACTTGTATTTAATCTGCAAAATTTATAGGTTACAATATGTGGACTTTCAAATCTGTCCGACTAGGAAACAATGGATCGGATTGATCTTAACCTATAAGACTTTAAGTGCTTTATTCTCTTAAAAAATACTTTAAACGCTTATAATCAATAAAATTAGTTCGATTTAATGAAAATCTGGTAAAAAAAAGACAGGGTGTTCGGAATGAAAGTTGTTTATGATAAAAATCATTTTCGAACATCCGGTTATATGTCCGGTAGTTTGAAATACCTAGTGCGAAATGTCTTTGTCCCATCTGATTATCTCTCTCAGTTCTTATTAAACTTATTCGGTTCATATGAGTCATAATTTCAAGAACAATATATCACACATAAGGATTTAGCAGAACAATGATTGTAGCACCTTGAAAACAATTATTTCAATGATAAAAAGGGTTACCGAAACTTCGCCAATAAAATCGTATCGTTGATAAATCGAACCTAGAATTATAGGAGAATCAAACATTTTTGTCTATCATATCGAAAGACGACTACAAATTTCATAGTAAAATTTTACCCAGGAATGAGACATATGTAGGTTTGTAGAGAAAAATTTTCTCTATCGAATTCTATTGAGTATCGTAAAAATCGATTTTTGGCTTGAATTCAAGCCAATTAGAGATCTGCATCCAACTTTCTTTTGTGTCCGGGAATCTCAATAAAACGTTAATTTGAACCCTCAAAATACATCAGAGAACAAAACCATCACCTCAAAAAAAATTTAATGTATAGGCAAGAGATTTAGTTGACTACGATACAAGTCTCTAACTGGCTTGAATTCAAGCTAAAAATTGATTTTTACGGTACTCAACAGAGTTCGATAGAGAAAAATTTTCCCGACAAACCTACGTATCTCTCATTCCTGCGTCAAAGATTTGTTGTCGCCTTTTCACATCAATGCTATAATAATATGTTTAGACAAGTTTGAATTAAATATATTTAGAGCAAATATATAAAAAAATATAAGCTAACAAAAAAAAGAGTATATCAATGTTTATTTTTTTATTTTAAGTTTAGAATTAGGTCTATCGAGATAGTTTTTTAATTTGTTGTAGATAATTAGTGTATTGTTGTGTTTCAGAATGTTCATTTCCGAAAGTAAGACGAGCAATTTCCACAGCATTTTCAGCATTTTTTACAGCTTTTTTATTATCTTGAAGACCTTCATAAGCTGTTGCTAAATTATAATAAGCTGAAGCTAATGCTGGAGAATATGGTGGAGTAAATTTTTCTTCAATCGCAATTGTTTTTTCATAATTACTTATTGCTTTTGTATAATCTTTCATTGAATAAAATAATGCAGCCAAATCATGATATGTATCTGCTAGAAGTGTTTGATGAGATGGAAAATCAAGAAGTATGGTTTGTATTGATTTTTCATAGATATTTTGTGCTTCAGAATATTTGTTTTGTTCTTGATAAAGTGCAGCTGTACTATTCTGTTGTACAATTGTATTTGGATCATGAGGTTGTAATAGAATTTGAAGAGCAGTTTGATTATAATCCCATGCTTTTTGATAATCACCTTGTTTTCGATAAGTAGAAGCAAGATTGATATATGTTGCTAAGAGATTTGGATGATCTCGTGGTAACGTTTTTAAACAAATATCGACAGATTGTTGGTAATTATTTATAGCAGCTGGAAAATTATTTCTCATCTCTTCTATATAGCCAAGTTGATGTTGAACGTATGCACGTTCTGCAAGTTGATTATCATTTGCTTGACTAAGAACATATTTATAAACAGCTTCAGCTTGATCATATTCATTAGCCTCTATTAATATTTTACTTAGTTTATACCAACCGGGCACACCCGTAGTTAATCTTTGTACGCATCCAAGAAGACTTTTAATTAATTTATCTTTTTTACCTACTGGAGCTAATTGTATTTCATATAAACGATCATTAAGTTTAACAATTTCTTCAACACGAAATAATGTATTCATTGAAAATAATATTTCACCTTCAGTATTCGATAAATAACTTAGATTATTTAAAGAAATAAATGGTACTGATGATGTTATAGGATCAATAACAATTTTAAATATAACACCAACTGCATTAGGTTCAATACGAATCAAATTACCAAATCGTAATGCCATACTTCGTTCAAGAGTAGTTAATAGAAAATCATTAAATGCTATAAAACCATCATAATTTTTTTCAATATTTGTAAATTCATCAAGTGTCATTCGTGTTGTTCGATAAACAGATATTGGATGACGTTGATGTGTATGTACGTCTGAATATGATTTTTTAATATCTCTATGAAGATCACGAATAAAAAAAGCAAGTTTAAACATAATTTCCATATCATTTTTATAAAATGCTTTTCTTAACATTCCATAAAGACAACATTTTCTTGTATACCACCATATAGGAGAATGAAGATCATAATTTTCATAAAATGTATCAATTAAATTCATTTGAAGATCATTACCTAAATAAAATGGTCGTGAATAATTCATAAAATCTTTACGAAATTTTTTATCAAAACGAATTTCAATTAGAATCGCTTTCATAACTTGTAAATAAATAAATTCTTTATTAAATTCATTTAATTCAACATTTGTCGATGATGGAAATACACTAATTGATGTTAGACCTTTATCATATTGTGAAATATGATATTTAACTGTTTCACAAAGTTCTTTTAATTGTGTATGAATAGTTCGAATTTTTTTATATTGTTTTACCCATTGTTCATGATTTGCTTTATTTCCACAATATAAAAATATTGAATAAACTTGATTATAATTTTCTATGATTGGAGTTATTTGTGGACCAAATGAACCGGATACGATAAGAAAGATTTTTTCATCTTCAATTGATTCAATAAATTTTACACATTTATCAACATCAGAAAATGTTTTAACAATATGTGTTAGACGACGAATTTGATTTAAAGATTTTTGTGTTGCTTCAGTTATATTTTCTAATGAAGCATCTAACCATATTAAGATAACATTTTCAACAAAACGAGGAGATTTTGGAGCGCATGGTGAACGTGTATAAGAATTTTGTAGAGATTTATTAGTTGAACCTATTGGAATATTTTTATCATGACCATAACGTGAAGTTTTTATTGATTTTGGTTGATCAAATGTTGATAAATCTGATGATTTTTCGTTTGCTGCACCCATCTTTACACACTTTGTTATCAAAAATGATTGATCGTTAAAAATATTGCTAATTGATCGTTACGCTTCGATGAAAAACGATTTCATATTTTTATTGTTATGTACATGAAATATATGATTGGCTTCTACTTTTACGTAAACAAGGACACACATTTTGACTTGTATATACACCAAAATACCTTTAGAAATTATTCGTATCTAATACATTGTCCATTTTCGGTTTTATATCAAAAGGCAAAGGTGTATTCCTGTTTTTGTTTTTAAAATATTAATATTCAATAGGAAACTTATGCATTAAATATAATAACCGTAAATCATACTTGCATATACATATAACGAAAACAACCCACCCACACTCTGTCTTTCTATACAAGTCTGATGTAAAAACTGTAATTAATTATACCACGTGAATAAAAAATATGACAATTATAAAGCAAATCGATCTTTAACATAATAGGAATATACCTTTCCGATTAGCAGATAATACTACAAAACAAAATTCTATTTTATTATTTCACGTTAATATTATCAGTGTGATAAAAATACGTATGCTTGGCAAAAATAAATATTGATGTTTTTCAGATCATAGCAAATCGAGATAAAAAGGGTTTATGTAAATCGATAAAAAATTCTAAATTTTTTCATTACATTATTTATATTAGTTTACAATTTTTAAGAATAACGTCTTAATTCAATTATTAAAAATCGTTGGTAATCCTCGTACTATTCTTTCAAGATATAAATTCTATTACGCTTCTTGTTGATTTTTAGTAACTTCATATATCTCTTAAATTGCATGATTAAGATCGTATGCTAATTAGAATGAACAATGATCTGAATTGTTTGTAGATATAATCGATATTTTGCATGTTTCTTCATTTAAAATATCGAATGAATAGCTATACATTGTCCTTCATCATACACAACTGTCATAATAAAAATATACATACTTTAGAAAGATATTTTAGTAATAGTAAATACTTTAAATCACTTCGAACAGACATTCCTAACCAATCAATTAGAGAAGAAAATCTCTTAATGTTATCAACAACAAAGCATGAGAGATTATACAATTGTTATCGAAATGCGAATATTATCCGACTGTTGGCATCTATCAAGAAATAAAACAGATGGTTGACTTGCGTCAGTTCGTGCTTAATGTTTTGTTTAAAAATTTCTTATATAATTATGAATTATTTCATCAAAAAGAAAACATTTGTTTGATTTGTTTACTTTTCAAAAGAATGTTGATAATGATCATTAAGAAATCAAAAAAGAATATATAAATTTAACTGAAACAAATTTATTTTGTTAATTTATGATCAACGAATAGAAATATAATTAACTGTACATTAGAAAATGCTCGCTAATTTCTTTGTTTTTTTTTTATACGAAAAAAAAAAGAAGAAAACCAATAATATTAAGTCAATTTCTCTATACAGATTTTTTTCCTTTGCTTTTTATTACCAGCCAGCTGTTGCACGTTGATGATGATCACGATCAACTGATCCATTATGATCATCTATAATATATTTTGTTGTATGATTACCATAAACATCATTTAAATTTGCTGGACCTGCTGATGATTGCGATGCTGTTGTCGGTATTTGTGTATACGAAAATGTTTGCCCAGAAGCTGTCGTATATATATACGATGGTTGTTCAATCGTTGGTGTTGTTGCATAAGTTAATTCATAATATGATTGTGCACCATTAGATTGATTCTGTGTCGAATGAATACCACCATTTAATGCTGAAGTTGTTGTTTGATTTGGTATTAATGTATTAAGATTTTGTGAATTTGTAGCTGCAGCTAATAATGCTGCTGTCGATGGTTGTTGATAATAGATTGGTTGAATACTTAAAATAGACAAAAGAAAATTCTCCAGATGTAACATATGTTCAACGGAAAGAAGATTTGTTTATCTAAATATGTCATCATTGTATAGACAAGAGAAAAAAAGCTTTCATCAAGTTTATTTGATTGCTCAAGGGAGTTCACTATATTCGATTTCTTTTAAATCTAAGATTGATTTGATTTCTCTGCAGGGCGATATATACTCTCTCTCTCTCTCTCTCGGTTTTTTTTTATATTGTATACAAAAGAAAATTTATTCACCCATAAGTAGTTGGTAATCCTGTTGAATATGCGCCAGCAAGATGAAGTGGAATTAAACCTAGAAAAATATTTTAAAATTGATTTATATTGTAATCAAATATGAAAATGCTAAAGAAATACACGTCACACATAGACACACTGTTATCATTTGTTGTCATTTTATATATTTATAAAGAATCAAATTTCGTTCGAAGAAAAAAGAAAACAAGTTTTTATATCATTATTACTGTATATATATCCAACTATCAAATGACTAACGTAAAGCATCGAGAACACACGAAAGCGAGCATATTAAGAAGTAAATGAGTAAGAGCACCAACACAACAACAACAACAGTAACAATATCAATATCAAACACTTGAAATACAACATTCCATGCCACAATGGACTGAATATGATTGTTATTGTTTAGTTAATTTAACGTATTAGGTTAAGTAAGAAAAAACAAATCAAGTAATTGACACAAACTCAGAGCATCAACTTACTGTCGACTGTTTTTTTTTTCTTTTTTTCTTTTTCCTCATGCTGCTTGTACTATAATTAATGATGAGAGAGGATTGTTTGATAGATTTTATATATACCGATATGTGTTGATGTGATTTATATTGTTTTTTTTTTT